CCACCAGGCACAACCCCTGCGCACCTCCCACCTCTCCACAGCTCGCCAAGGAGAGCGAGCGGCTGCAAGCCATGATGACCCATCTGCACATGCGGCCCTCGGAGCCCAAGCCCTTCAGCCAGCCAGTGAGTGACTCTCCCCTCCCTGCGGCCCTCCAAGAACCACCCCCGCCCCGGGACCCCTCATCCTGTCGGCACTGGTCTCAGCATCCTCCCCGTTGCTCACAGCTGAACCCAGTCCCCGGCTCCTCCTCATTCTCCAAGGTGACCGTCTCCGCAGCGGACTCGTTCCCAGATGGTCTCGTACACCCCCCCACCTCGGCCGCTGCCCCTGTCACCCCCCTACGGCCCCATGGCCTCGGCTCTGCCTCCCTGCACAGTGGGGGGCCCGCCCGGCGGAGGACCAGCGACAAGTTCTGCTCCCCCATCTCCTCAGGTAAGGGCCGTGGGGAGGGGTGTCTTTCCCCAAGCTGGACCCCCGTTCCGGCTACCTCAGCCTCTGCCTGTCTCCCCCAGAGCTGGCCCAGAATCACGAGTTCTACAAGAACGCCGACGTCCGGCCCCCCTTCACCTACGCCTCCCTCATCCGCCAGGTGAGCGTGGGAAGGTAGATGGAGTCGGTGGGGGGAGGCACACAGTCTGCACCCCTCCCTCAGGGTCCCGGGACCAGAGAACGTAACTTTCCATCTCACACTTGTCCTCTCCCACTCACACCTGCGTTTTCCTTCTCAGCCAGACGGCCTCTCACATGGGCTTCGGCTGAGCCATGCTGCTGGTCACTCAGGCCTGTCTGTGGGAGCACACACACTGTTGATGCCACTTACACCCCCTGTGTCATCCATACCCTCATTTCCACGTACACACACTCCCATGAGACAATTCTCTGATAGACTTATGGTCACTTGTAGTCTGCTCCTTTACTCTGTCTCTCTCAGGTGCACACACACACATGCACACACACATCCACATGCCATCTCATGTTTAGGGTGCCCTTTACAAAAACCAGGATAAATTCCAAACAGCCCCCACCCCCAGACCTCTTTCTCCCAAGAATACTGTTTTCCTTCCCAGTCTAGGGCAGGGGCCCTTGGAGCCATTTTCCCTCCAGCAGCAGTTCACGTGCTCCTCGCACAAGTGCATGGCCCTCGAGGCTCGTGTTCCCTTTAGCCTCTGGCTGGGCTGTAACCAGCCTGCCCCTCTCAGGGGACCATCAAGCACCCCCAGTCTTGACCACATGCTTCCGCAGCGGGTCTCCTCTGCTCTCAGATGAGTTAGGGGCCAGGCCGAGGGGAGCTGGGGCAGAGCACACAGGCCTGTGGCCCTTGCAGGCCCAGACTGAGGGTCCCTGTACTCCTTGCTTGTCCACAGGCCATCCTGGAAACCCCCGACAGGCAGCTGACCCTGAATGAGATCTATAACTGGTTCACCAGGATGTTTGCCTATTTCCGGAGAAACACAGCCACCTGGAAGGTGAGGCATGCCCGTTCCTCCTTGCCAGGGCCCCAGGCGGCCTTGGACATCTCCAGATCCCTTTGAGACCAAGACTGCCTAACAGTTAGTCCCCTCGGGGTGGCAGTTCTATAGAAGTGGTCCCACCAGGCCCCAGGCTGGGCCCTGGGCCCCTCCACCTCCACCTCTCTGGAGCGCTCCCCCCATGGGCCCAAAAACCCCAGCCCCCTGAAGTAGGGCCTGCGGGAGTCGGTAGTGCCTGAGCCTGGTAGGGAGGCCTGGGCTACATTCACAGGAGACCCTCAGGGTTCAGAGTCCTAGGCTAAAGGCGCATGCTCTGAAGCCCAGGATGGGTGGAGGGAGGGGGCTCGCAGGCCTGGACACGTGGGTGGACCGAGACCCTGGACTGTAATACACTGGGGCACAAACACAAACGCTCACACTCTCCCCAGCTCTGCCATCAGTAGCAGGAAGATAATTGTCTTCATCCAATTAGTCATTTTAACACCTTCAGCCATAAGAGTTTTCCTGGGGGATCAGAAACAGACAAGGGAGGGAACCTAGGAAAATGGGACACAAGAGTTGTGGGCTGGGACGCTAAGCCATTTGTTTTTCTAGAGCCAGCATGGGGGGGTATGAGTCTGTCTGGCTGTCTGATGGGTGAGAATATTAGGTTCTGTGCAGCAGGGTGGGAGCGGGTGAGGGGAAGGAGAAGGGAGCGTCGGTGCCCTGTGGGAAAGGATGGACACCCGGGAAGGAGTCCCCCACATCTCAGGACCTGAGTTGGATCCCTGGCTCTTGAGTCCCTCTGCTGGCCAGTGCAGAAGCTGCAGTTAAACAGCCTACCTCCCCGATCCCACCAGGTTTCAACAAGTGTCACTAGGGCCCCCTCCCTACCAGTGACCAGGACAAGGTGGGGTCTGTACAGGGCCCAGCCTTCTCTGCCTTCTCTGTGCTAAGTGCAGCAGGAGAGACTGCTCCGTGGCCTTCTGTATCCCCGTGCCCAATTCCCAAAGCTTGGCAAAGAGGCTGCAAGGCTGGGACAGCTGCTGTGATTGGCTGCGAGTGATGTCATTTCCTGCCAACCACAGTCCTGCCCTCTCTCTGAGCCATCAGGGCCTTCTTGGAGCCACCTGGTTCAGTCTCCAACCTGCAGGCCAGTTTGGATACCACGTTTCGTAAATGATAGAGTCCTATACAAACTTTAGGGATCATTACAATTGTTATGTAATGTTTAATATTGTATGTTAACCCTCTACCTTTAGGGGAGTCAATGTGGAGCCTCACTGCCCTAGACAACCTCCTGCTTGCGGGCAGAGTGCCTCTCATCCACCTATGCTCCTTTTTTGTTCTCTCTTAACTGCATCATCCTCTGCAATCTCTGCTTCTCTCCTTTCTTGAGGTCAGGAGGAGCTAGTTTAGGTGACTTTCTTAAACTCCTCAATGACCATCATGAAGCCACCTCTCCTGTAGCCCAGCCCCCTTCGGTCTTCATACCACCTTCGACTGGTGGCCCAGCCTTGGTCATCTCAGCGGCGTGTCTCCCTCCCAGGTCTTCACCTCCATCTCCCCTCCCCTAGTCTAGGTCCCAGCAAGCAGCCAGCTCATTGAGTGACCTTCCCATTTAGCTGTGCTCTGCTGCTGCTTCTGCCACTGGGGGCACTGCCTGCGCCCAGCCTGTGGCCCAGCAGAATCCACCTCAGCTTGCGGTCCACTCTGACCTTCAGGACTTTTTGCCGCCAAGCTTCCATTCACGTCACTTGGGAAATGCACCCTGTCTACTCCCAATTCTATTCTCTTTCCACCCCCACTTCCGACCCATTTATCTGCCCCTTGAGGTCCCTCCTCTTCTCCTCAACTATTTCAGCTTCCATTCCTTCCTCCTCCTTTACTCTCTTGGGCCCCCACCCTGGGATGCTGTCCACTTCAGACCAGGGCAGAAGGGTTGGGAGCCGGCGTGGGCCAGGCCAGCTGCTGTTCATCCGGGGACAGAGCTGCCATCTGCCAAGCTGATGGTACTCGCCAGCCCTCCCCCCGTGTCTGTCCCCTCCCAGGGCCCATGTTGTGGGCCTGTCCTTTTGTTTACGCAGCCCCTGCCAGACCCCTTAAATTGCCGTTAATGTTTCAGCGTAACGAATTAGTCTCTCATCACGAATCAGGCTTCGAAATGAGGGAAAAAAGCCCCAGTGAGGCCATCCTCGGAAATTGGGGTCATTCTCATTTGCAAAGCAGAGGATCGGAGCCCCGTAATGCGGGCAAATTTATTCCAAGGCAGGAGCCCCGGCGTGATTAGGCCCTTTGTAATTATCGCTCCAAGAGATTCCACTCCAGCCGCCCGCCTCCCTCGTGGATTAGCAAGCGAGTCGGAAAAATACACAGGATTTAATTAGAGGCAAATTAAAATTGGTAATGAAATCGGGCCAGTTGCAAGTGGCAAGAGTTGGAAGGGAGAAAGGGAGAGGGGATCGATCTCCAGGGGCATGGGCTGCCTGCCCAGCCTGCTTTCTTCCCCGTTTAGAAATGTAAAGAGGAGACAAGGATGGAGATGAGGTGCGGGAGGCTGAGGGGGGACAGGTAACAGGGACAGGGACGGCTGGGGCTGTGAAGTTGAGAGAGGAGAGAGCGTGGGGACAGGAGCGAGGCACATGGTGGGCGGGGGTGCGGTGGATTAGGGCCCTAGCCCAGGTTCCCGGGGTGCGGGGGAAATTGGGCCAAGCACCCCTGCCCCCACCCAAGTGTCCTACAAACCAGATGACCTCAATTCCTGAAGTTATCCTGCTGCGAGGAGGTGGGACCGACAAGGTGACTTGTCCCTCCTCTTCCCGCTGTACAGCCACTAAACCCAGGCTCTCCTTTCTCTCAGCTTCCTTATGTTAACAAGTATGTATTAGGCCTCTACTGTATACCTCATGCTCTCAGTAAGCCATCTGTTCTGAGCCACAGCCCAAAGTCAAGGCTCCCACGCTCCAAGGTGGTCAAGGAAGGTTGCAGTGAGGCTTCCTGAGTTATTCCCCAAACTTTTAAAGGCTTCATGGGAACTCTGCGTGCACCTGAGGTAAGGTGTCCCAGGCTCACTGAGGTGCCAGGACCTGAGTGTGGTCTCGTGCTGCTCAGAAGCCCTAACAGCTACATGCATCTGACTAATGATGTTGAGAAAACAGATTATTGCTAACGAGGTATCATTCACTTGGTAGACAGAGTTTTCCAAAACGTGGCAGGGAGAAGGGAGCAGACGATACAACGGGCTGGCGGTGGTGAGGATGCCGGAGCCCCTGGCTCCAAGGGCCGAGAAGGGTCTTCCCTCGGCTCCGGCTGCATCTTCTCCTGCCCGGCCCTCCCCTTGCTTGTTGCTGGGGAAGGTGGAGCCAGGTGGGACTTGAGGACCCTCCTGTCTGTGCTCCCCCCGAGTGGAGGAGGGGCCACCTCTGAGCATCTGCTTCTCGTCACTGCACCCCCAGAATGCAGTGCGACACAACCTCAGCCTGCACAAGTGCTTTGTGCGCGTGGAGAACGTCAAGGGCGCCGTGTGGACTGTGGACGAGCGGGAGTACCAGAAGCGGAGACCACCAAAGATGACGGGGTACGTGGGCCCACCCCCCCCCCCCACCAGACCTCTCCAGGGAACCTCTCTGCCCCGACCCTTCCCCCTGGGGGGTCGG